TTTTTTTTTTTTTTTGTAAAGTGCATCTGTCATGCCTAACACATCTTGGTGTCCCTTTTTTTAAAGAGAATTGAATTTAATCTATACAGTGTGTTAGCCAAACGTGGTACTTTCCTGGGCTTTACCACTATTCCATCAGCAAAGCTGTAAAGACTACATCAAAACGTACCATTCGTGCTTTAAAACGCAACCACCTTCCCTTCACATTAATCTTACATTTAACACCTGTACGCTTGGAATTATGGGGTGCGGTAAATGTCTGACCGGGCCCAACCACAGCATCCAGTCCAGCATATCTTATCAGGAGTGGAGGGTGCTGTCTTCAAGCGTATAACTGCGGTTGACTTTGCCAGCTCACTGTATAGATTGTATCTAAGCCTACCTGAAGGTAAACTTGTCCTATAAACGTTTTGTGCAGGTTAATATGAATTTAATTTATTTTTGTCCGTTTGAACTTAAATACATCAAACCTTAAAAACTACTTCTTTTTTTTTGTATATTCTAATTATATATACACACACACTCATATATTGACTGGGGGATATATAAAAAGACAAATATCCCGCAGTCAATTCATTATTTATAATAATGAATAAATAGTATATGGCGTTGTACAAGTCATGAGTCCTGTATTGCTTATTTTGACGTACCAAACTAGCGTTTCTGTAGAGCTCCCCTCTCTAAAACAGAATGTTATATTCACTCTTCATACATTGATCTGTGTTGGTCGCAGACTTGCAGGGATCAATAAATGACTCATTAACTTCAGTTTATTTACTTCTGCATTTGAGGTGGGAAATCAGATCTCATATCTAGCTTGTAGCTGGGAAAGACAGCAGTGACAAAATGGCATTGTAGAGGGTGTGTAAATATACATGATAAAATAAGGCAAAATGCATCAATAAGGCAAACCATTACATGTTCAAAGACATTTTGTTAATGTTGTCCTGCATCTCAAAGGGTTAACTATCCAAAAGAAGTGGTTTGGCACATCTGTTTTTATCAACACCATGCCAATTATCTGGCATTATTCATGTCACTCTTGTTAAGCAGATAACCAGCTTTAGATGCTACTTCATATATGATATGGTTGTCTCATCCCTACAACCAATTGTGTTGGTAGGGTTGAACGCCATGGATTTGATGGGTGTCTACTAGTATAAAATATTCTTGATCTGATTTTTCTAAACTGTTGACATTGTAGAAGAATCGTTGGATAAAAATAAGTCTTGAATTCTAATGGGACACCTGAATTTTTAGGTTGGGGGACCCATAGATCACTTTATTTGATCTGTCAAAAAGGAATGTTTCTTTAAAGTTTAATATATTTCACTTTGAGTTGCAGAAACGTGTATGTATATGTGTGGCACATCGCAACCAACTTGTTTCTATTGGTATAACTCCATCTTTATTGTATGCCCCAGCAGTTGATCCCGTACACCAATTTTAAAACAGGATGCCTGGAATTGTGGGAGAGAATTTGTTGCCAGCCTGTATGTACTGCCTCTTCCCAGCTTCCTGCTGATGTTTAGCATACGTTTTTTTGGAAACCACCCACCTCTCCCTTTTTTATACTCTTTCAATAGGCGGGCCCTCTTTTTAACTCCTACCCTGTTGATCAGTTTCAGCACTTCACAACCAACTTGCTACTACTGGTATAACTCAATCTTTATTGTATGCCTCGGCAGTTGGTCTCTCACACACACACACAAATGAGACACACACTGCACAATGACACACATCTTTAAGATTTCTTTAGGTGTTCCATGTAATGTAACTGCTTAGACTGACTGTTCAGGAATTTGCTGTCATTTTTACCGTAGTCTTAAACATCCAGTTCATTCAGGGATCATTTGGATTAAAATTTATACTGTCAAACTAGGGTATATAAAACGTGATTATACAACTGTTGGATTGAATTTCTCAGAATTGGCTGCCAGCTGTTACCAGTGCAGATTGTCACTGTGCAATAGCTGCTGTACAGCCAAAAATCTGACTCTTGTGGGTTTTTTAAAATGTATTTTTATTTATTTTTTGTTGTACTCACTACTATTAAAGTAATATTGAAGATGCACTGTTGCTGCTAAATAGATTAAGTGAGTCAATCTGTTTACACACACACACATTATTTTGATCAAATATTTCTACATTTTCCAGATTCACCTTGTGACATTGCTGAAATACTCATACTTATTATGTACTTGTTTTACCTAATGCATATGAATGATTTTGAAAATCTGGGTGCATTTTTTTGATCTAGGGGTGCCGTTGTTTTATTTACAATTTTTGTAATGAAGCTGCAACATCCAAAGAGCTTTTATTTTGGAAGGCTTTTACATGTTCTTGAGATATAAAGGAATTCTATTTCTCCCTTTTTGGGATAAAATGCCTGGAACCTCAAAAGTTCAATCGATAATTGAATATCTATTTATTTGAAAGGGACATGTAAATTTGTGTAAAAGAAAAAAAAGCTAAACTCGAAATTCAAAACTTTCTCCCATTCATGGGAAAACCAGAATTAAAAAAGTTAAACTTGCAGTCTTCTCACAGGTGACCACTTTGGGTCCTGTTGAATTCATTATTCATTTGACTGTGATGCTTTCATCATGACCTCCTACAGTAGAGCTTCTTAACACCTAGGTTGAGACCCTAAAATGGGTACCTATGCTACTTCAGTACGTACTCAAGGGATGGCAAAGACATATTACTGTATGCTCATTGGGTTCAAGAAAAATGTCTACAACAAACCACTTACTGTGGCAACTCTTCCTTCCTAACAGAGAAGGTATAAAAGCTCACATGGTCCTAAGCAGATTTGGACCCCCTGTTCATTGTTTACATGAAAGGATCAAGCAAATTCGTAGATCCAGGGCCCCCGTCTAAACCCTAGGCCCTAGACGAAAACTTCATGGTTAATCTGACTCCGCTTCCTAAATGCAATCCCGATCCCTCTAACACCGGTGGGACTGTAATGTATGTACTTTTTTAGAATTGGACTCTACTGTAACAATTTCTATATAGACAGGGTGTGGACGAATAGAATTTCTAGAAAGTAACACTTTAGACCATCTAAGAGTTCTTTAAATAGGAAAGGTTTCACTGCAGTGTAACCGGCTTGTAAAAGGGGATATATTTTAGATGAACCTAATGCCAGAGAAACTGGATTTAATAGAATGATTGTATTTCACTCTAAGGAAAGTTGTGCTAGTCCCGATATGTCTGGTTAAAAAGGATCCATTTGACATTTTGGAATGGAGAACATAACTTGGATTTAAAAAAAATAATAAATAAATGTTTAAACAGCTGTTTCTTTTAAGAAGTTTGGATCACGTGATGGGGGGTGGGGGCGGGGTGGAGAGAGGGACAAATTGATGTTACTTGTCCAAATGAATGGTTGCTTTAAATGGTTATGCAGGCTATGCCTGTCATTCTAAAATTGTACGTTATATATTATTTTTATGCCATTTTAAAGTTTGCACTGACTATAAGTTAAGTAGAATATCTAATTTCTTCCAAAATTTAAAACTGAAATATTTATTGTATTGGCTTATTTTATTTTTTTGTCTGTTTTCTGTTTTTTCCTTTCTTTATCATTTTGAATTGTACCTAGAAAAAATTATTGGTGTAAAAAATACAACACTTGGGACCAAAGCTACTTAAATATGTCTAAGTTAGAAATCTTTTTGAAATGTTTGAAATGATATCACTATCCACTGCTAAAATGCATTGCTTAATGTGCCAGAATTAATTGTCAAAACCGTTCCCTTTTAAGTTAAGTTTATAAATAGTTTTTATTTTTTAATTTGCATTCTCCTCCCCCCCCCTCCCCTTTTATGCACTAGGAATTTTGAAACTACTTTTTTTATGTTGAATAATATCGTATATCATTATTACAAATTACACACTTTATTTTACATATTTTGTTTTTTTTATTCACAGCTTTGTGTGTTATATTTCTCAAATGAGAACAGTCATTTGTTGACGGTGTCTGTTTAATTTTTCTATTTTGTTTAGAATCTAGCTGATGAAATTGAGTGTTATTAAATGTTTCTTTTAGACTTGATATTGTAAAGCTGTATTTATTTATATGACAACCTAACTACCGCCATTGTGTTTATTTTTGGCTTTTTACTAGTGTCATGTTTTGTGCGTGTTGTGTGGATTTGAATGAATGTAAATAATGTAGCGACTGTAATGTTTGTAAAGGGCTGGTCACAACTGGATTTTATTTTGAAAGAAGAAAAAAAAACTTTAAAAATCTTTTTATTTTAATGGAGTTTTCTTTCTGATGTGCTAATTTGTCATTTGTTGGTATATATGTAATTACTGCCCTGAAACTCTGTTAACATACTAGACTTGTTGGAATATATGGATGGTGGTAGGTGAGGAAAGCTGTCACAACTGTTTTACATCAAAATCTAAACTACCCGTTAGAATTCTCAGTGTGTTTGAATGTGTGTCTATTTACTTCTACTGCAGTATAAAATCATGAAAATCTTGTATCCTTCCTGCAGTATGATTAGTTCTTTTACTAAGCACCTTTTTTATGTTATTGAGTTCCTTGTTTTACTTCTTCCTATGGGTCTTCGTTTTGGGTTTGATTTTAAAGGATAAATATCAGGACAAAAATTGGGTAATATAGATATTATACATAATACAGTATAGATATAGTATACACGGTCCATACCTATTATTATTTTTTTTATATATATATTTTTTTTTTTTTTTATTAGCGCCGTCCATATTCATGATTAGTACTGCTCTTCTTTTGTTTCCAGGACTCCCCCTTGGACCAGGTTACACCCTTTCCTTAGCCTCATTATAGAAGTGGCAAATGGAACATGCAAGAGCCTAGTCATGCCCGACCTTTGCTGTTACAGATACAATACACATAATTGTTGTGAAGCCTGCAGTTAGAATAATAAACTTGTTAGGAAGTATAGGATTAGAAAATAAAGAAACTATTTATTTCCCCGTGAGTATGTTGTAGGGATAGCTATTCATGGTGATCTGACAAATGAACAGGAAAAACAAATCCCACAATTTAAATGTAATCCACAAAATAAATCTGCTACTAGACACCAGAGCTAACATCTGAAAGTCAGATAATTCAACCACAGGTTGGTGTTACAGAAATCCAACCCTTTAAAAAAAAACAACTTACATTTAATGTATGTCCTACGGAGAGATTCCACGTCCTATATCCTGTATGTATACATGGGGCCTATCTAGGTCAATTTATCTGGGAGGCCTGAAAGCCACTTCCTTGCCTAAAGCAAGCCTTCAAAATGAGGAATGCACTCTATCCCAGGAGTGAGCGGTTGGCCATTATGGTCTACCATGAGTCATTTTATATAGAATCAATGGAAAGGGCCCTCAAAATACTTTGCATTGATTTCACACCAGAACACCGCTATCTGACTGTGGTAGCAATGAGACCATTTTAAAATTAAGCTTTAACAATAAATATTCAATAAAGGGACGCTACAGTCACCAGAACCTCTACAGCTTAATGTTGGGGTTTTGGTATCTATAGCCTATAGATACTTTGTTCTAAAGTATGCAATTCTCCTGTCTATTCTGACTTTTCTGGTTTAGGCCTTATCTTATCCTTGGCAATGGCCTTAAGTCCTACTCAGTCAGGAGCAGTGTTTACCTTATTAGACACCACTCTGATGTGCCAGTGGTCAAGGCTGATGTCCTTATAATGTGAATTCTCTACCAGGTAATTTAGACTGATAATATAAGCATTGCTCCTGACAGCTAATCACTTAAAGCTGCCTTTTTACCTGCAATTAAAAACACAGTTCAGCGTTTCATAATATTTTATTTTTTTTAAAAAAATTTTTTAATGCTCATAAAGACTGTTATTCTAATGAAATTCCAACGCAGTCCAAAGATATAAGACAAAGTGGGGTCTACATTTTCCTATGGTAAATTCTTAAAGGTACACCATTGTCACCAAAACGAATTAGCTTAATGAAGTAGTTTTAGTATATCGATAATGCGCCTGCAGTCTCACTGATCAATTATCTGCAATTTAGGAGTTAAATCACCTTTGTTACTGTCCATGCAGCACTAACCTCACCTTCCCTGACTGAAAATGAAACAGTTTTTTTCATGCAGGCTGTCTCATTCACAATCAGATGTAATTTACTTTAAAAGTTTTTTTTTTATCTCCTGCTCTGTAAATTGAACTGTAATTACATACAGAAGGCTCATGTAGGGGCGTAGCAAGCTATTAACAGAATAAAATCTTAATTTGAGGCCCTCTCCCTTTAAGAAATATATATAATAGCTTTTAACTCTTCGATTTAATATATAACCTGTGCCGTTGTCCTCTATTCCCCCCGCCCCCCTAAGTATAAAAGCTCAGAATTAATCTTTACAACAATGAGTTAGCACACAAAATTGGTAATAACTCTCAAATTGAGAGAACAAGATGTAAATAGAACATAATCACTTCCGGGTCGGCACTGTACAGAAGAGGTTCACTCACTTTTGTTTCAGCATAATTTCAGTGAGTCTGGGCTCACAACTCCCTGTATACACAGATTACTAAGCAACCACGTCTCACGCTATGCACATCTGGTGACCCTACGGGCGCACTTCCTGGTTGTACACCGATCGGTGAGGGAGAACTACACACTTTATTGGTTATCCACCCATGTTGTAACCCTTGGAGTGCTGGAGGATCTAGAAGGTGGTTAGTTCAGTGTATACTGTAAGAACTTGGACATGTCAAAAGAACATCATACACACACACTGGGACTTTTTTTGATTTTCTGATGGATGCAATTTTTTAATAGGTTCTGTTTACATCTTGTTCTCTCAATTTGAGAGTTATTACCAATTGTGTTCGCTTACTTGTTGTAAAGCTAGTTCTAAATTAAACAGCATTTGCAATAATGGAAGTGTAAACATTAGATGACTTTACAGGAAGTTTTTAGGAAGGCTGTGTAAGTCACATGCAGGGAGGTGTGACTAGGACTGCATAAACAAGTGATTCAACTCCTAAATGGCAGAGAACTGAGCAGTGAGATTGCAGAGGCATGTTCTATACACCAAAACTGCTTCATTAAGCTAAAGTTGTTTTGGTGACTGTCGTGTCCCTTTCAGTTGACAAAAAGTTGCCAGGGCAAAATTTTAATTTACAAAAAAAATAAAACAAGTATAATTAAAATGTTGAAATCTCTGACCATATTAAATATTTTGCGTATTCTAACAGGAAAACTTTCATAGTAACAGGTTTATAATATCACGTTAATAAAGAAAAATCATTTTGATGATTTAGCAGGGTCAAAAGCAAATCTCATTATTAAAACAAATGTTGGCCTTCTTGAACTTATTGCTGTACAGCATTTGAAGGGTCGAACCCATACATTAATATAGCCTATTCCCTATTATCTCATGACAAGTGAAATGGAAGTCATAGGACAAAAATAGAAAAACTGACCACATTGGCCTTTTCTGAAGTCTAAAAGCGAATCTATGTAAATTTAACTAAGATGTCATCTGTGATTTATGAGGTGATTAAGCAAACTACAATTCATTTTTTTTCTGTAGTTTGATTCATTTTTCTTTTTTTAAACTAGATTTCAGAAGGTTACAGACTAAAGTTGATACTGTGCAATTTACAGCTTCTGCAGCGGGATCTTACCAGATCAGGAAGTATGCCAGCTGATCCTTTTGCTCCCATAGCTAGCTATGAGTGCCAAGTGTATTGTATAAAGCTCGGTTATTATCTATATCTCGAAAGCTGTATAGCATGCAATTGGTTTAATTCATAAAATAACGTCTTTCTCTCGTTCTCTCTCTCTCTCTCGTTCATAATTTTTGTTTTTTATTTTCTTTTTCTATGAATTAAGTGACTTTTGGGACCGATCAACTTGCTGTAGAAAGCCGATAACTGAACCCCCCCCCACCCCCCATTGAAATCTTACTGTGCAGCAAGCTTGTCAGGATATAACCGTTGTATTGTTGAAACCTAAATGAAAATGCTGCGAACATGGTGGGCTTATTGAGCAACCTTAGTTGTATTCAAAAGTCAAAATAAAAATCACCCCGCATAATTGTAATCTAACTTCCAGATTGCGACAAAGGTGTGTGGGTGTCTGCAGTGTCCATTAATTATAAGCGTCTATGCGTAAGAGTCCCCGATATAAAGATTACCACTTTATCTGTACCATGTTTCTTTCCATTTCAATAGAACTACATATAGCATAGATTTACTGATTTATAGTTTACACAATCTAACCTAATACAGATTTCCATATGGCCAGTTCAAAGCAAATTTTACACATTTTTAAATGGACACTTCTAGCAACACTAGAGCCCATTGCCCCTGGGATATTCGTTGGATTGGATGCTGTGATGCCTTACCCAGTTTCACTGCTCTAGGGCAGGGGTAGGAAACCTTCGGCACTCCAGATGTTATGGACTACACCTTCCATAATGCTCTTACACCCATAATGCTGGCAAAGCATCATGGGAGGTGTAGTCCAAAACATCTGCAGTGCCGAAGGTTGCCTATGCCTGCTCTAGGGCTTTAGTTGATATCGGATCATAGCACGGTGTGAGCCTGAAGTATTAACATAGGGGCAGATAGTGATAAATCATATTGAGGAAATCTCATTACCTCAAGTTTAATCTTATCTTAACAATTCTCTCACACTCCCAAACTCAACTGTAAAGGAGGCGGCGTAGGCATCCTTCTCTTCCCTCAATGTACCTTTCAACCAATCATAACTCCCCCTGCCCTATCCTTTTTTTCTTTTGAAGTTCACACTGTCCGCCTATTTAAACCCACTCCTTTAAGAATTGCTATCCTCTACCGCCCCCCAGGTTATCCTAGACTACTCATTGAGCACTTTTCTTCCTGGCTTCCCCACTTCCTCTCATCTAGCATTCTTTCTCTTATACTTAGGGATTTCAATATCCCAATCAACAACCCCAATTGCACTGATGCCTCTCGTCTGCTCTCTGTAACATCCTCCTTTGGCCTTACGCAATGGTCCAATTTAGCAACCCATACAGCGGAAACACTCTTGA